GAGTTATCTTGGTCATCAGGTAGGACGTGGTGAAGTTCGTCCTCTATTTGCGAAGGTGCAGTCAATACAAAACTTTCCACCACCAACAACTAAAAAAGAACTAATGAGATTTTTGGGGTTGGTGGGATTCTACAGAAGTTTCTGTAGAAATTTCTCTACCATTGTTGCACCATTAACGGATCTGTTGAAGACCAATGTAACATATGTCTGGACCACTCCTTGTCAACATGCTTTTGAAAAGGTAAAAAGAATACTCTGTCAGCCTCCAGTTCTGATGGCCCCGGATATGAGCAAGGCATTCAAATTACATGTTGATGCAAGTAATGTTGGTGCAGGTGGGGTGCTTTTGCAGGTGGATGAGCTTGGTATTGATAGACCTGTGAGTTTCTTCTCAAGGAAGTTCAATCGGCATCAGCTGAACTATTCAGTGATRGAAAAAGAAGCATTGGCACTGATCTGGTCATTACAGCATTTTGAGGTCTATGTGGGTTCAGGGCCTTTAGTGGTGTATACAGATCATAACCCTTTAACCTTTTTGTATTCTCTTCGCAGTCCAAACCAGAGGCTGGTTAGRTGGTCGTTGTTCCTGCAGGCCTTTTCACTGGACATTAGACATATTAAAGGAAAAGACAATATAATTGCAGATGCATTGTCCAGGGCTCCATGTTGATGTAAGATTGTGTGAATAACCTTCTATATTACCCTAAGGCACCAGTCCCTGACACTGACGATGGGATATTGGAAGTGGTGTTTGGCCAGGGTTCCAGTGTGGACCCTGTCTTGATGGAGGGGGGTGTTACGACCCCAGGCCCTGGTCTCTTTCTCTCTCTCTCTGTGTGTGTGTGGGTGTKTTTCAGGCTCAGGTGTTTCTGGAGCTGATTGGAGATGGAAGGCAGCTGGCCATAGTCTCCGGGGGAGCTTACTTGAGGAATGCCTTCACCACCAAGGAGGCCTTTTTTTGTTTTCCCTTGAGGGCTTTTTATTTTTTGCTTTAGTTAATAATAAATCACTTTAAGTTACACTTGCCTGCTTCCCCTTTTATTTGTTATGGTTTTGAGCTAGGCCATAACAGCAGTTTGTGCGCATAATTAAAAAAATATGGAATTTATATCTTTAAACTTCAAAGTATTCATACAAACCTTATTTCTATATGGAGATTATAAGTAACAAGTGATAAAACAGTTTATAAAATGAGTGCTTTATGAAGATAACTTTGCTAAACAGCACATTCATCTATCCTATTATTGGGCCTCCTTTATTCATTCACTCTTCTACAGTGGGGAAAATAAGTATTTAGTCAGTCACCAATTGTGCAAATTCTCCAACTTAAAAAGATGAGAGAGGCCTGTAATTGACATCATAGGTAGACCTCAACTATGAGAGACAAAATGTGAAAAAAAAATTGAGAAAATCATTTTGTCTGACTTTTAAAGAATTCTTTTGCAAATAATGGTGGAAAATAAGTATTTGGTCAGTCACCAATTGTGCAAATTCTCCAACTTAAAAAGATGAGAGAGGCCTGTAATTGACATCATAGGTAGACCTCAACTATGAGAGACAAAATGTGAAAAAAAAATTGAGAAAATCATTTTGTCTGACTTTTAAAGAATTTTTTTGAAAATAATGGTGGAAAATACTGTAAGTATTTGGTCAATAACAAAAGTTCAGTAAACCCAAAGTATAGACACTTAGGGTTTTGGGTTAGAGTAGTGGTGGAGGGGAAACTGGCACCACGCCGGCCTCTGCC